CTCTACTCATTCTATCTCAGACTCTTGCGAGTCTCGTCTCTCTCTTCTTTTTACCCTATAAATGCCGCAAACCTTTTCTCAATATAGGTGCGGAACTCCATAATAATTTATTAATGAAGATGCGAATGTTTAGCCGCGAATAAATGCCTCCCCGATGACATCGTTGGTGTTCCAAGTATGAACGCGTTCAAGAACAGACTAGATAAAGCTATGAAAATATATATGTTCAGATTTGAAATGCCTAGCACTATATCGAACCCGGTGGAAGTCGAGTAGCTATTTCAAACTATCGTCAGTCATGAAAAAAAAAACCGGTCAAATGACACGATTTTAGATCTTCTGTGAACAAGGCACGAAAAGGAAAAGAATCGCCTGAATCGGCGACAGGCCACACCAGGCCTACACTTCAGCGCCGATATCACTATATTATGTTATGTTAAATGATTGAAAAATTCACAAAATTATAAATTCAAGATTCATATAAATAATCAATTATTATGCGCGTTCCCAACGTAATACCTTTCCATCATTCCAAAAAAGCATTTTAATAGGTCGAATAAGTCGACTCGTACATAACAGACTCGTGCACATGGTGAAAGATGCACAGTGGCGGGGTTATTCCCTACCACAAGACTGACTTCGGGCGGACGTGTTCGGGAATATTATTTCCACTATTGGAAGAATCTCTTTTCACTTCAAATTGGCAGTTGATCAGATAATGATCTTTTAAGATCAACCAGAACTCGCCTCAAATTAACCTTTACGCTACATTGCCCAATCGATTAAGAAATAAAACCCCAATTAAAATTAGTTTCCAAGGATAAACCGCGTTCCTTATGAAGTTAAGAGTTTACATGCTCTCGTGTACTCTGAAAGTTATTCTGAAAGCTACCGCATTAAAAAGTTTGTCGCTAAAATATGTTGTTTATGCAAACATGCGCAGCCTGCTACAAGTTTATTCCTTTGCGAAAACGAAATCACTTTCCGACTAAATGCGTTGTTACTTAGAATACATTTACTTTATTGACATAGATGATGGCTAATTTAGAGGACTCCTATTCATACATTCACGTAGTTTTCCTGAGTATAGAGTCTCGCGGCTCCAGAATACTTATATAACAAGATTTAAATTTGGCATTTCCGAACCCTTTGAAAGGAACATGACGGTGTGCTGTCTTATATTAATTACCTACATAAAATTTAAAGAGTCGACTCAACTCTCAAGTTTTTGACCACGAAAACCGGACTTGGTGCGGAGCTGAAAGCTGCAAATATTGTATTTTGTTCTCATTGAAATTTTCAAATACGAAAGTAAAACGTAAAACGGTGGAATGGGTTCATAAAACGTTACAACTGTCTGACTATTTGGTAGAGAACGTATTTTTTTCTGAATTTAAATTTTATGGGTTACACTTACCTCACCTGGTCGCGCTGCATATATTTACACCTTACCTAAAGTCCTTTGTTTATGAATAGTAGCCTGTTCATCACTTCAGCGGTCAATAATAACATCGGTCAACACTTGTGCTGTTCAGCCTGTGTGTCGTAACGTTTCCCTAGGTTACTGTGAGACGCCGAAACTTCTCTGCTCCAGGCAATTTTTCTGAATGACGTCAAAATATTGTAAATAGCGTCTGAAAACTTTCTTCTTCTGTTTTTGATAAATTCGGAAATAGAAGTGAGTCAAGTGACATCAATCTGCATCAAATTCAAGTAAACCTGTTTGAAGTGTATTCTTTCTTTTCACAAACTCATAACAACAGGCGAATTATCATTTCAATAAGTTGTACTACACAGATGTCGCGAAATGTAGTTTAATTATGATAAGAGGTGTTCAAATTCTTGTACTGATAGAGCCATTATTGTTGTAGTGCCCAAAACCTTCAATGATCTGGCAAGTCCGAAACATAATCTAGCACCAAATTTTGCTAAAATGAAAGATTATTTTTGACTACTTATTCTTGCATAGAGAAGACTCGTATACAGTGGTACCATGAACAAACCCGTGTCGGGCCGTGCGTTACGTTTCCATGGTTGAACTATATATATATCTACTAGTTCAACCATGCAGTGGTACCTCCCGTACAATTCTCCGGCAGCATTTGCGGCCATGGACTCCCTATTGGTTTCCAAAATTCTGTAAACATGAAATATCTCCCAGACTAATAAGCGCAGCTCGATGAAACTTTCAACTTGCATTTATTAGGCTATCACGGTGATGTTTAGGTAGTGACTATTTTTTTCGATTTCGCCTTCGTTTGCGACGAATCCAATATATAAGCGTTATCTACATAAAGCATCATCACTTTATTATAAGTTCACTTACGTCGCAAACGAAGGCGAACTGGAAAAAGTAATCACGACCTAACCATCGCCGTTAGATCCTACTGAGTGCATGTGCTAATTTTATCGAGCTGCGCTCATCAGTTTGATATTTCATGTTTACTGAAGCTTTGAGACCGGTCGGATAAGTGTCCGTGAGGTTACAGTGGTTAGTTTGGTTCACGGGCTACGCGAGATGGCCAACGGGGAACGCGTCCTCCTTCTGTAGCGATTCATACCAAGAAAACCTCAACTTTGAAGTACGGGACAAGTCGTCTGCTTATTGTTGATATATATATATATATATATAATAGAGAACAAAAACGTGGTGGCTCATACCAAGTTCAATATTCAATAGGTTCTATGGTGAAAATGTAAAACTGACACTACTGCCGCATTAGCGAGAATTTAAATTGTATTATCGAAAAAGTGTATTTTGAATTTTCTGAGTCCGATGCTTTCGCCGTCATAACTTGAAGCAAACTTCTGATAGAGCCACGTTCTCAGATCGCAGTTTTATATATTGAAAAATGAATGACGGCAATTTCAACTGTTGTCTGGCTAGCCACATCAGTACGGTGCCTAATACAACAGCAACTACATATTACCCGGTTCAAAGAACACTTCTGGCTTCTAGCAAAAATTATGAAAACACTTTCTTTAGTGCAACAGCCGTCGTAGAATTGTTTACGTAAGTTTCATAGGAGGTCCCGCTATCGAGAACCTGGCCATGAGAGGCAAGGTTGATGTATAAATTTTTGACAAAAAATGCTGGCGCAATAATACTGACGATTTAAATTGAGAATTTGCACCAACTTTCAGTAATATTGAGCACTAAACCCAAGGAACATTAAAAACTTCGGGTGAGATTCGTAATCAGAAGAACCTTGATCTTTTAGTGGCAGGATGACCCAGTGGTTACAGTTCTGAGTATAAAGATTACAGAAGAGAGGTGCGATTCGAACCCAGCTCTGTGCGACGGTTACTGGTCAGAATAGGCGAGGAGGCCGGGCGTTTACACAGCAGAATTGAAGCAGCAAGCTGCGTGTTCGAGACCGCAACAAGCTGCGAATGTACTGCGACGTTAAGAATAGGAGACTGGCCTACGACCTAATGAACGCTGAAACCGCTGTAATTATTATCATTTTGTAGTAGTAGTAGTAGTAAAAGATTTACTAGCGCTTCAGATAGCGAATCTATTTCGCGCCGGAGGTGAGGTCTTCAGCTACGTCAAAGATGTTTGGTCTCTTCCGTCTCCGAGGCTTATAGCCTGATCGATTTTAGGCGCAGGGGCTGGGCGGTAGATTCCCTGCTCATGGAGCGAAGGTCCGCTCCGACTTCATGTATCAACTCCAGCGTAAGTTTAGTGAGGCTTGGTCTAGGTGATGGCAAGGTGCGATTATAGTCTCGTCAAAGGCGGTGGTGCAAGTGCATATGACCGACCGGCGGTGGCGTTACGGGGATGTCTGGGGTGAGGGATAACAGGTGTCTGGGGTGAGGGATAACAGGTGTCTGGGGGTGAGGGATAACAGGTTTCTGGGGTGAATGATAACAGGTGTCTGGGGGCGAAGGATAACAGGTGTCTAGTGGGTGAGGGATAACAGGTGTCTGGGGGTGAGGCATAACAGTTGTCTGGGGGTGAGGCATAACAGTTGTCTGGGAGTGAGGGATAACAGGTGTATGGGGGTGAGGGATAACAGGTGTCTAGGATGAAGGATAACAGGTGTCTAGGGTGAGGGATAACAGGTGTCTAGGGTGAGGGATAACAGGTGTCTGGGGTGAAGGATAACAGGTGTCTGGGGGTGAGGGATAACAGGTGTCTAGGGTGATGGATAACAGGTGTCTGGGTGAGGGACAACATGTGTCTGGGGGTGAGGGATAACAGGTGTCTGGGGGTGAGGGCTAACAGGTGTCTGGGTGAGGGATAACAGCCTATTAACAGGCGTCTGGGGGTGAGGGATAACAGGTGTCCGGAGGGTGAGGGATAACAGGTGTCTGGGGTGAGGCATAACAGTTGTCTGGGGGTGAGGGATAACAGGTTTATGGGGGAGAGGGATAACAGGTGTCTAGGGTGAAGGATAACAGGTGTCTAGGGTGAGGGATAACAGGTGTCTGGGTGAGGGATAACAGGTGTCTGGGGGTGAGGGATAACAGGTGTCTGGGGGTGAGGGATAACAAGTGTCTGGGGTCGAGGGATAACAGGTTCTTGGGGTCGGGGGATAACAGGTGCCTGGGGTCGGGGGATAACAGGTGCCTGGGGTCGGGAGATAACAGGTGTCTGGGGTGAGGGATAACAGGTTTCTGGGGTGAGGGATAACAGGTGTCTGGGTGAGGGATAACAGGTGTCTGGGGTGAGGGATAACAGGTGTCTGGGATGAGGGATAACAGATGTCTGGGGGTGAGGGAAGGGCGCCACTCCATCCGCGCGGCGTTTAAACAGCCCCCCGCCTGCCCAGGAGTCCCTCAGCTAACCCTCGCCGTTAGTGACTATTAAAGCTGGCGGGTCGGGTCTAAGTCCCCGCCAGGGTTCGCCAATCCAAAGAAGGGTCATCGCGTGTCCATTTGAGAGCCAGGCCGTTTCCGAAAAGGGCGTTCCAGATAATATACATCTTATATCATTTTATCATTTAATCCCTGTCCGGCTACTAAGGGAAGGTGTAGGTTAAAGAAAAATGTCCAGCGCATACGAAAATTTATGGGAATTGACAGTCCGAGTTTAATTAAAATTATAATCATAAATTTACGGTTTCCACAACTTCAGGAGTCCCTCTTCGCTGAATGTGGACAGCAGGTTCTGGTGTGGGTGGTGACACATACCGATCACGTTCTCTTCGTGGACCTGAAATGTCACATTGTAGGCCAGTAAAATACTTGAGAATCGGGACTTTTGGCATAAACTTATTAGAATAAATACGTTTTCGTGTTTTTACCTTTCGAACATTCGAGATTAATGAATTATTTGCATAAATAAGATGTAATATGAGGATAACTCTTAACATTAAACGATGCAAACACCAAATAAATATACAAAAAACGAAACAGTCACGACTCGAGACTTACATTGAGCGTTCTCTGCAGTTTGCCCGATGAGGTGCTGAAGCAGTATAGCACGTGGTCCTCTCCGACACAGTATATCCAGTCGCCGCGGGGTGACACCACACACGCCACAAAGTCTCCTCCTTCTCTCTTACCCGACGACAGCGAGCGCACCGTCTGGCCCTGTTCGGCATCATATATAATCACACTCATGATACTATAGTATCAGTTCGATCATCACATTGGTCATGATGCTCACACTAATCTGTAGTATCAGTTCGATCATCACATTGGTCATGATGCTCACACTAATCACAATCATTCAGTGGCAATTCAATCATCACACTGATCATGATACTGGAATCGTAACCCCCGATAAAGTCATTGGCAACCACTACATTTAATTGAAATTATCATATACAAGTTACACCGTCTAATCTGGAGCAACTATTTGACTCATACCGTCGGTATAAATTGATGGGGAATTACTTGAGTATCGAAAATCAAAACCAGTTGCTGGAAAAAAACTTAAAATAGCAGATGAAATTAAAAATTAGTGAGTGCGCAATAATTAAATTAATAACTCGACTCAATTAATGACGCAATGAAAAATCGTAGTAGAGAGAAGTACCTAAATAAACGATCGCCTAGCAAGACTCAGCAAATTCAATTACCTGCATGTTCATGATAGACACCGTGTTGGAGCGGTTACAGACGATGATGTGGTCTGGATTTTTGGGCAGGATGTGGACAGAATAAACAGGTAAATCAACAGCAGCAGTTCCGGCCAAGGACTTGAAGGTGTGTACGCACTCGCAGGTCTTCACAGACCAAACTTTCACCGTGCCGTCCGAAGAACCACTAGAGAACAGAGTAGGCATTAATGGACTTATGTTTCAAGTCAGAAGCGTGCAGTTATTTTCCCATTGAACGGGTAGCTTAAATTTAAAACATTATCTGAAGAGCCTGGTTGACATTTCAATCTTGAAATTAAATTCAATTTATTTGCCTCTATACATAGATAGTAACGTTGATCTTTAATATATAATATTTGCTATAAAATAATCTGCTAAAATTTTGAATTCAGAGATAAAATATTAGCGCATAGTTGAAGCGCATTATACAAGTGTGCAAACATTAATACAATACAAGAACAATAAGTATATCTTTGTTAGGTATATACTTATCACACCTGATGAGGTTGTGGCCATCTTGGGTGAAGGTAGCGTGATTCACGAAGGAAGAATGTCCACGGAACTCCTTCAGCATTTTGCCGGATTTAAGACCGTGAATACTGAGGAAACAATAGGATTGACATCCTCCACAAACTATGAATGCAGTTTTGCACGAGATGAACAATTTTGTGATGTAATAGGTATTTGTAAATTACATCACAAATATTTTGCGATTTAAAAAAATATTTGTGAACTCAGAAAAGGGGAACATTGGAGCAAATGATGAATAGGGGACGAAACTAAAAAAAGTGTCACGATAAGTTACTAGTCAATTATATTAATGAAAAATAATTTTTAAATTTACATGCAGCCACAACAATTAAAATCTAAGAAAAAGATTGATGTCATCAAATTTAGAGACGAAATCACGCACCGGATATTGTTGTCAAAGGAGGTGGAGACAACCTGGTTATTGTCTTTGTTGAAAGCGAGAGAAGTGACGCCTTCGCTGTGAGCCCGGTCTACCTTCCGCAGGCACTGACCAGTCGTGATCTTCCACACCTAAAAATACAACAACAAGGCACTAGAAGTATAGTTTCTATTGTTCTAAGATAGCATAATTGCCAGCAGATTAGAATAGGCAATGACAACAGCCATACATACATTTTAAATTGAGGCAGAGATCACTCAGGTAGATCCAAAAACGCATCTTAATCAACAATACAAACATGACTGAAATGAAGTATAGAAAAGAAACCCGCACAGCAATTTTGTCAATGAAGTAATCTTAGAAAAATAAATGCGATGCTAAGCTAAGGTGCATCAAGGAACAAAATGATGGGCTAAGGCTTATTGAGGACAACATTTTCGTTACCACACACACCTTCAACTGGCCGTTCTGTGAGCCTGTAGCCAGCATCTCAGAGTCCTTGCTGAATGCAAGGCTGAGGACGGCGCTCTCCATCATCATGAACGAGTCTTGCTCCTGATACTTCAGATCTTTACGGATCTTGCCTGTAACGAATATTTACTTATTCATTGTTCATCAATTCAACCAAATTTATCAATTATTAATTTATTCAACAATCAACCATCTTCATTTCATCATTATTTGAATACACTTAATCGAGGGTCCATGACTTTTGGAATCTCTAGGCAAATCTATAATTTCAATTGAAACAGAAATTGATTTCATGTTAATTTATGATAATAAGATGAGTGTAGCCTTGAAGCATACTATTAAGAAGAAACGAATTTAATCCAACTGGATCAATTTGAAATAAGCGCTACTAAATCAAATACAATGAAACTTAAACGCACCTATTCAAAGATTCAGCACACAAATATACCATGAAAAGTAACTTTTCTATGTTCAAATTGATTATAATCTGTGACAGATTCAAGGCAAATCCAAAGCTATTAATGATTCAAAAACCGAGAGAACTGACCTGTAGTAAAGTTCCAGACCTCAATGATACCATCAAAGGAACCAGTGACGAGGTACTGGCCGTCAGGGCTGAACTGGGCGCTCTCGACGTGCGCATTTGCTGGGAACTTGATGCTCCTAGCCAGCTGTGTGGGCTCCTTCTCCTCCTCCTGATGTTCTCTCATGGCCGCCTTGCCTCTGAACAAATCAATGGCAGTACCTGAAAATTTATTTGTTGTTAACAATAATGTAATGCAAACGCCTGCCGCATTGCCAGACAAAAGTAATATCATAGATATTATAATGCCCGTACATACAAGAAATGAATATCAAACTCAGTAATTAAAATTTTGTTTATTACCTATTTGAGCATTTCAGTTCAATTCAATACTTTACAAGGAGAAGACATATATGGGACCTCAGCTACATCCAACAGTCAGGGGAAATAATGATTCTTAGGAGAATAAGTGAACCAAAATTTATGCCATGAAGGAGTGGAAAATAAATGCAGATTATCACCACATAGATTCTCAGTAATGACTGGAATTATTACAAGCGAGTTCTAAGGGACAAGAAAAACATCCACTGACCAGGTGGCAAGAGTCCCTGATGTTGCTGCCACTTCAATGCTTGTCCCAGTAGAGCAAGTAGCCTGGAGGGCGCCACCACAGACACCTCGCCGGCCAGCGCCGCAGCAATGGCAGCGCGGCGACGCTCCTTAGTCTCCCCTTCAGGATATGCTTCACGGGGGTCGAAGTAAGACCGCGCGATCAGGTTCTCCAGATGCACATATCTGTTGGAAATTATATTACACTAGGACAGATTTTATAGGCTTCTGAGCCTGACTAATGAAAAACATGCTTGGAGGTGATCTTCATGCACCAAGAAGAAGGAACAAGGAGCTCTATAGGCATGTACTAGAAATCAAATGAACTAGATTATTGCTTAACAAAACGATGGGCAGCAATATGTAGCATTGAACAGTTACTCACTTTTAGCAAACAAATTGAGCACTCTTATTCTGTAGAGGAGAAAAAATTAGAACTAAAATATTCCCCCACCTTTCAGGCACAGCTTGCTTAAGCATGATCATTGGGTCTGTGTTGCGGAGAACAGATTTGGCAGCACCAAGCTCGCGCAGTTCAATCAGCTCCAGAACAACCTACATAAAGAATATAGGTACCATATATATATGTATTAGTTAATGCATTGCCAATGTTATTTTACTGATAAAGATTTCATTAGCCTTAATATTTTACATGAACATTTGAGGATTTCCAATTAAATTTTTTAAATTATCCCAAGAATAAATAAGTGGACAAAAAGAAGGTCAATATACGTTAAATTTTTCATGCATTAATTAATTCATATTATTTGTAGAGGAATATACATGTCATGAATTCATTTATCTATACCTGTTCATGGAGATCAATGAGTTTTTTATCAGGAAGCTTAAGAGTTTGAATAGCTTTGAGAACAGTGTCCCAGTGGCCCTGGTTAATGTCAGCCATGAAGCTTTCTACCGAGTCCACTGTGTTGAGGGTGATAGAGGTTTCTTCTTGCAGGCATCGCAATGTTTTGTGCAAGTTGTTTTCTTTCAAGTATTGCTGGATTAGTCGCACCACACTGAAAAACAGAGAGAATAGAATTTTAATCCACAAGACTTTATTCATTGATTTCTTTGCACATAACACATACTTAGCAGAAGCAGACAGAGAGATAATAGAATTCGGGAATCAAATGCAATAGTTTTGAAATCAAAATCATACAACTAGAAAATTCAGGTAGTATTTCTTCTCTAAATCTCTACTTTGCTTAATCTGTAAACTTGACACTATACAAAAGAAATTTTGAGTAATTTGGCTATAATTAAAATAAGGTACTGAGGAAGACCATAGCAATCAGCATAAACTTTGATGTATGAAAGAATAAGCGTTGGTGGTAAATTTCAAGCTCACTTCCAAAAGAAAAGCATTTGCTAATTCATCATCAAAAGAAGTATGTAGCTAAGATATAATATTTACATAAAAGCATGTGCATTATAATAGTTTTCATTCAAACATACAAGTAAAAAATTACTAGTTATTGCATATAATAAATACTAAGTGGCTTATTATGTGCTTTGCATCATGAAGGCTAATTTCAATTTTAGCTTATATTAGTTTCATATTTTGGAAGATCATGCATGCGCAAGATTGTAAAATTTCTATCATTTTGAATTTTGCGGCTCCAAAGCACAATGCCAAAGACTTTTTAAGACTCATCATTAAGTTCATTTTTGAGCCTAATAAGTAGACTAGTAGAGAATCATGGATACCAGCTGTATCACACATACAAAGATATTGAATGAAATTTTGAACTAGATACATAATACTTACTGGTCTACTTTTAGGACTCAAAGGTATGGTCAACAAAAAATCTCCCACTTTTGCTTACCATTATAGCCTAGCAACAGTTAAAATTGTGTAAGCACAAATATTTTTGTCTCCTAAAAAGATGGCCTTTGCTAATTTGAAATGTTGGGCAAAAGTTTACTAAATCGGAATATACCACGTTTACCCTAATAAGTTAGGGTAAATGTGGTATATTCCGACATCGTGGGTAATTCCAACACTTCTCAATTTTTTTCTTTTATGTTAAGCTTTGTCTTAGTTCTACGCATTCATTGATGGTTGAAATAGTGACGTCATACTATTGCCCGCCATACTATTGCCAAAACACTAGGTCTGGGCCATCTGGCAGGAAAATGTTGAGATCCAAAGAGAGACAGTGCACATCACCCAGTGAGAACATCGAAAAACATGTTAAAGTTGATAGTTGACCTTGCTCTACCAAATAGTGATAAACTGTTTGTGTAGAAAGAATAGGGTAAACGAGGTATATTCCAACACTTTAAGGACGTAGCAAACAATGAATGGCTATAAAAAATACACTGTATGCACAACTCGAGTTCTGTTTGCTTTACGTCACTCTCAAAACACCGCACTACATGCTAGCAACAATGAAACATCACAAAGTGTTGCTGTGAGGTATCCGCCCCAGGTTTTCAGTTGTCTATCTCCTTTGGGTAATGACAGTTCACTTAATCCTTAAGTGCGTACAGTATATTTCACAAATCCGGGTCACGATTCAGACTCCTGGTAGAAAATAACAAAACTAAAATGAATAAAAGATAACATGAAACGAATCACTAAAATATATACAGAATAATATACATTGATCAATATATACAATACCTTACTAGAATATATGTACACTGAATAAATAACAGACAAGATGACACACAGAGTATTAACAAATGCTGACAGACACGACACGCATACACACCTTGCCAGTGTGGGTTCTGGGACAGTAATGGCCATTAGTAAAACCTATTCTCCGGATGTAGGCTTCGGATATCTCTAGATTAAAATCACATGAAGACATAAATAAATGAACATAATCAGTAAAAACATCAATAAAGTACGAATGCTTACCGCTACATTGCCATATTTATTTAAAAGCCTTTAGAATGCAAACCTACCAAATCCATATATTCCGACACTGTGTGTGACTAAATTCGGCATTTTGTGAGACTAATTCCAGCCGCACTTCAAACTCTACTAATTCGTAATGCCGACACTCTTGTGTTCGAATTTCGATTGCTGTGTGAGCTGTATTGGAATACGACAGAGCTTGGAATTAGAACACTATTGAATATTGAACACTACTTAATTAGGCTTTTAATCAAGAAAATTTTAATTTTTGCACATAGCTTGGAACGAGCTGTGTGTGTCTAATTCCAAGCTGTTTCGGAATTAGTTTTTATGTGTCTAAAACTGTCTCTTATCTTAATCATCTATTAATCTTTTTACCACTTGAAATCAGCAAATACAAGTATACTTAAAGGATTCATAATATATTCACGTATGTATTTAAAAGTCTCAAACCATAATATTCTTTCTACACAAACAGTTTATCACTATTTGGTAGAGCAAGGTCAACTATCAACTTTGACACATTTTTTGATGTTCTCACTGGGTGACACGCACTGTCTCTCTTTGGATCTCAACATTTTCCCACCAGATGGCCCAGACCTAGTGTTTTGGCAATAGTATGGCACGCAAAAGTATGACATTACTATTTCAACCATTAATGAATGCATGGAACTAAGAAAAAGCTTAATATAAAGGAAAAAAGTCGAGAAGTGTCGGAATTACCCACGATGTCGGAATATACCACGCTTACCCTATTATGGTTTGAGACTTTCAAATAAGTCTGTGAATATATTAGGAATCCTTTAAGTATACTTGTATTTGCTGATTTCAAGTGGTAAATAAATTAATAGATGATTAAGTTAAGAGAAGGTTTTAGACACATAAAAACTAATTCCAACACAGCTTGGAATTAGACACACACAGCTCATTCCGAGCTGTGTGCAAAAATTAAAATTTTCTTAATTAAAAGCTTAATAGCTCGTAATTAAAAGCTTAATAGCTCGTAATTAAAAGCCTAATTAAGTAGTGTTCAATATTCAATAGTGTTCTAATTCTGAGCTGTGTTGCATAGTGACAAAGCAGAGAGTTTTTAGACTCTCCCTCAAGTTCACTTTTGAGTCCTATAAGTAAACCAGTAAAGTATCATGCATATTGGATACAGCATTATCATACTTGAGAAATTGGCTTAAATCTTGAGTAAGTGAGGAAATTAAAAATGAACTGATTTTAAAAAAGCTCTGGTTTGCCACTATACTGTGTCGTATTCCAATACAGCTCACACAGCAATCGGAATTTGAACACAAGAGGGTCAGAATTATGAATTAGTAGAGTTTGAAGCGCGGCTGGAATTGGTCTCACAAAATGCCAAATTGAGTCACACACAGCGTCGGAATATTTGGATTTGGTAGGTTTGCATTCTAAAGGCTTTTAAATAAATATGGCAACAGTTTGTGATGTTTCATTATTGCTAGCGTGTAGTGCGGTGTTTTGAGAGTGACATAAAGCATACAGAACTCGAGTTGCACATACGGTGATATTTTTATAGCCATTCATTTTTTGCTATGTCCTTAAGGGGAGCGTCCCTAAAATTGAAAATTTTCACTTTTTTGGTTTTTATACTCATTTCAAAGCTGACATTCTGCCCTATCCAACGGTACCACTGCCATCTCTGTACGTTGATTTATGATTTCACGACAAACGGGGGCGGGTGGGGGAGTTCTTAAAGTAATTAAATAGGAACTAATTAGCTGCTGAGCTCTTCAAATATAGTGTCTACTTGAGTTGTGCTGCAGTTACGTGTTTAGTCTCATCTTAAAGCTGACATTCTGGCCTATCCAATGGTACCATTACCATTTCTGTACTGTACGTTGATTTATACGTTCATGACACTTCATGAAAGGGGGGCGGGGGGACTAGTAATTACAAAGGAGCTAATTCGCTGCCCAGCACTACAAATACAGTGTTTCTATGGGGTCTGACTCAGTGTGCCTCCGGGCGTTGTATGGAGAGATGTGCATGTAGTTTTGAGTGAAACCTTGAGTGAAATCAAGCTCCAGAAACGTTTAGTTTGGTATCTATGCTACATTGAGCGCATATTGTGGTGTGCGCGGGACTTTGTCACGCTCTCCTCAACATTCACACTTTTTGTCACGGAAAACCTATCTCCTCCTAGAGTTTTGAAGCTACATCAATGAGACATACCATGGTGCAGAGGGTGGATGCAGCGTCGCCAATATATGGGTTTTTAAGTCCTAAGCGTTGCCAGGTAATTTTAAGATGCGTCGCCGGGTATTTTTTAATGAAAAGCCATTTATGCTGAGTAATGAAAAACTATTTACAAGGTTGCATGCACGTGTTACTCCAAATAACTAATTTTACCCTAAAAGCAGTCAGATTGTACAGCAAGTGTCAACTGAACATGTGATAATGCAGTCTGACCACTCTAATGTGACCGCAACTATGTAATCGTAAACTTGATGTTAACATTTTTTTTGGTGGGAACTCATTGCAACTGACTTCCAGACAAGCTTCACTGCATACTGATCAATCCAACATACCGGAAACCTTACTTTTTTTAAATAGTTGGCCGAAGACTGACAAATATATAAAATGAAAGAATTTCAATCTAAATGTGTCAGCAAGATCTTCTGAAGGCATAAATTTTGCTACTGAAGCGTCGCCAAAGATCTTGCAATATTCATCAACTCTTTGCACAGTGGGAGACATATACCGTTCGATGCGCAACAAAATTATCTACAATTGAACACGGGCATTTTTCTAATTTCGTTATAGCTTGGATTTTATTCCGCAAAAAGGGGGGTGGCAGGGGGGGGAGAAAATTGAAAAATTTACGAAAAATGCTCCCACACCCACAAAAATGAGAAATCCAAAAACCCGCTCTGTTCAGTTTTAGATCTGGTCTTTACGCATCAAATGATATGTGTCTCTATGTTGTAGCTTGAAAATCCTAGGATGAGATCGATTTCTATGGTACCCCTTTTTGGCCGTTTTCTAAGATTTTCACATTTTCATTCATTTTTTTTCGAAAAATTCACATGAACAAAAAAGTCTTAGATTACTGTTTTACATATGTGTACCAAGTTTCAAAGTGATCCATCTGTAAATAGCCAAGATAGATTTTACCCTAGAGTGCAAAGCAGAGAGTTTTTTAGACTCCCTCAGGCCTCAAGTTCAATTTTGAGTACTATAAGTAGACCCACACTCAGGATGATGTATGTTTTCAGTGAATTTTCCCACGCATTTTCATTTTTTTTAAGCTATTGCTGTGCACAGTTGGCGCAATGTAATGAAAATTGATTATCTTTGCGCACGTGTTCGCGCAATCCCGGCCATCTTTATTTTAGAAGAAATTTTCTCCAAAGTCATATGGCAACACTGAACACTGTCGGTTTACATTTCGTATGTATAACAGCCGCAGTTTACAATTACCGATTTTACCGTACATTCCGTATCCGACAAGGCGGACAACCGGAAGAGTCAGAAGTAACCTGGACATGTCTTTACATTTTATTATCGTCAGTTCGACTCGCGTAGTCAATATACTCGCGTATATTGTCGACTAAAATAGTAGAACTATTTTAGCTTTCTAAAGTACGGCGCATGGCGCATTTTTTTACCAATGTAGTACGGTGCGCTGCGCAGGTCGTTAAAATGACAAAATAAATTCCCGCGCACCTGGCACATCTTCCTGACCATGGAAGTAGACCAGTAAAGTATTATGGATACCAGCATTATTATACATAAGAAATTGGTTTAAATATTGGGTAAATGAGGAAATTAAAAATGAACCAATTCTAAAAAATCTCTGGTGTCTGGTTTGCCACTATGCCCTACTGCAGCCCTAGACGCTCCCCTTAATGTGTAGGAATATAGTTAATAGTACCAGGTTTAACCTAACCCAAGTTTGAAGACTTCAGAGTATACACAAACATTGTTCAAAATCAAAAGTGAGGGAGGTAGTAAATGCAGTCACTGGCAAGTTGGCAACTGCAAGGGACCAGCCAAGCAACCAAGGGTTAAAAAATGCTCATTTTTGGTAAGGCATTACATTAGGTACCTACTAATTGCAACTTGCTGGTTCTCTTACTTCAATACTTACTCGGCGCTCTCTATTTCCATAGACATTGTGAATTCATACAAAAAATCAAGCCCAAGAGAATTTCAGACAAGGAAATATTGCTTCTGTATTACTGATAATAAAGTAGCTAATATGTTTGGAGTTATTCTGTTGTTTTGTTGACGCATTGAACGTGAAGAAAAACCCACAGGCGTCAGGCGGTGTTTTGAGGCAAGCCTCACCAAGGGAACGCCGTTTCCGATCTGCAAACTTAGGATATGTTTGACTTTTAGACTTCATACATCGGCTTAAATTTCGAATAAACATGAGAAACAATTGGAATAATGACTAATTAAAGAAAATATTTGCACGTCAATCAGTACAAAAGTAATACAATACCAGTTTTCATTTGCATATTTTAAAATCGTTCTATTTTTCAAGCAAAGATACTAAACTACATTTATTCTAGCTCCATTCCGAATTTCGACGTCAACTAATTCAAAACAAACAATTAGGTACCTTGGATAAAGTATGACTTGGCTCCCTCTCCCAAAGTTTGAAAGTCGAAACTCGAAACACCTCGTAAAATTCGTTAGGGTTTGCACCTACTCTTCATCAACGTAGGCTATCACAATTAACTTGTCTACTCCTTTTATTTTTTTACCAATTTATAACAAAGTTCTATTATAAACGTACTAATCATGGATGAAACCACTCATAAAAGTTCTCTGATGCAAAAGTATATCAAAATTTTTTTAGTAGTGGCTCTATATTGGTAAGATATAATTAGGGTTTCAATTTAATTTTGTTTTATTATGCTAGAGCTGCATAGTGGCAATTGGCAAATGAGAGAGTTATTTTATTGATCATCTGTTTTTCTGAGTGTGCTGAATGCTGATGAGCTTGGTATTTTCCTGTCCTTCTGCCGTGTGGCATGTACCTAGAGGCTAGAAGTTCTGTAGGATAGTGAACAGAATACTGAATTATTTTTTAACATTTTCAACAAAATTTTTGTGAATTGTTAAATTTGAACTGCATGGAGTCTGAAAAAATCTCTCATTTGCCACTATCAGCTACTACCTAGAGGCTAGATGATTGTTTGATATTCTAAATGATTTAATAATTACAATGTGAATTAGGTATGCAAAAATTATAACAAATAATTTATATATATTTATTTTCAAACCTGTTACCTGTACTGTGTTCACCCAAAATGAAAAATTAGATAGAAGCCACCTTGTGAGTTGCTATAACCTAAGCGCCTTTGAATTTCTAATATATATATCCTAATAATAACAATATAGTAGTTTCAGTGTTCATTTTAGGCAGTAGGCCTGTTGGCTGTTGCTGATTCTTGACATTGCTGAACAGCCTGAACATCCACAGCATGGTGCACCAGTGCGGGCTTGAACTTGCAACTTGAACTTGCAACAAACCCACACTTCCTCTGCTTCAATCTTTGTACACTGATGTGACTGAACTTCAACCACTGGTCCACCAATTTCTAAACTTTAATCACTGGGCCCATGGGCCACAACTTTTCCAATTTTAACTGTTCCCATTACCTTTCTAATTTTATTTATTTGAAAGTATTAAAAACTGCTTATTTTTACCTGCAATGTAAAAAAATCACTTGTAAAATGATTGTTTTTACCTAGAGTTTTGAAAAAATTCAACCTAATATTCCACTTTGGGTGTTAACTTGGGGAGAAAATATATATTACTAAAAATCAAGCTGCAGCCACCCCAAGCTGTAAAGTGTAAAGTAAGGCCATTTATCTCCAGATATTGATGTCTAGTCAAGCTATTCATCAGCAACCTCAACCTTAAATTGGCATCGATGACCAATCTTAAACTATGGGTTGATTGTCATTGTACAAGTGTTTTAATACTATATTACTATCTATTGTGTTCTAATGCATTCTAATGCAATCTGTTGAATTCTAATGCAATCTGTTGCATTCTAATGCAATCTGTTTCTTTCTAATGCAATTTAATGTATTCTTATGTAATCTTAAATGTTCCAATGAAATTTAATGCATTATAATGCAATCTTTTGCCTTCTTATGCATTTATTGCGTTATAATGTAATCTACTGCCTTTTAATGCACTTGAACACAACACAACAATACCTTTTGATCTACCAACATCATCTAAAGAATTGTTTGAATCCTTGAATATTGTAATGCATTCTCTGGTGACTGGTCATTAATTATTTACATATAAAGAAGAAAATTCTGTCATATTTGTGCTTCATTATTTATAATGTTGTTCCTAATCCAAAATATTGAACAGAATTTGCAACAATTACAAGTAATAATGATTGTGCCATAGGTGATTTTTGAGAAATGTAGTCATATATAAGTGTAATTTTTCTTCAGATTAAGAGTCTAAGAGAAGAAAATAGGCAAAGGCCATAGGAACAGTGGAAATTGTATATGAGCAATAGTGTTTTGTCTCATTGATGTGTTGCTTCTGCCCAATTTTGCCATTTATTGCCTTTACCATTATTATTTTTAAGAGCTGAGAGGGTATTTTATTTCTGGGAGCAAGTTTATGGTTATACAAGCTTTTTAATTTATTTTGTGAATTGAGCCATCATGCAAAATCATTGGATTCTATCAATATGAATTCTTGAGAGCCAAAAATGTTCTCTCTTAGAAAACTTTTTCATTGCTTCAAAATAGAAAAATCTTTGGAAAAGAAAGTACATAATCTTCATATTAACACTCATGCGCATATACTTACATTCTATATAAGTACATTGCATCCTCTAGGGTGCAAAGGGAGAGCCAATATCTTTAGGTTTTTCTCAATATATTAGCATAGAAATCTATCTCTTTAGAAGACCTTGCCAACACATTTCTTTTGTGGAATATGTTGGAATCATTGTAACTATTTATATGTACTTTTGACAAGAAATCTTGAAGTTTTAGGTAGTTGTGGTGACAGATCCACGCTCCACGGTAATACTGGCAACATTTTGGGCATAAAATCCTGATCTTTGTGGCATAATTGCTAAATTCTGCTTTGTGGTAGTCTTTTACTGCTTAAAAAAAGAACTTTTATTTTATTTTTTAATAATGCCTCAAGGCAACAAACTACATGTTTTAAAAATTCAAATTTTATGTTAAACCTTCAAATAAATCACTAAAACTTTTATTTATCAGAAGCATTCTATATATCACGTTTATCATGATACCAAACAGTAAAACTGAACTGTGAATATTATAAAATATAGTGTTGAATAAGTAATATATATAACTGCCATACCTCCAATCATAATGAAGCATTTAACATAATTTTTTTTCAGGGTGGTGTCAATATCTATGGTCTTTCTGAACAAGTCCATATTAGGAGATGCCCATGGAGGAGCTAATGATGCTCCGCTGTTTGTCACATGGTTCCAGTGTCTTGTCACTGTGGCCATTTGCTTCTTTCTCTCCCGTGCTGCAACTCTCTTGCCTGGTGTTGTGAAGTTCCCTCAAGTAGGCATTCTTGATGCTGGTGTTGTGAAAAAGGTATGTCTTAAAAATCCATAATATCATTTAATGCAAAGAAATTTCCTTCCTATACAATACATGACAATTATAGATGTATTGCATCAGTTCTATCTTCTCTTTAAAAAATGTACCTATAAACCTTTTATAAACAGGCTGTACGAAAACCTTGTTTGTCATTGAGTTTATATTCTGTGAAGGCATTTTTCCATTAGCCTTTGAGGTTTGAGTGAGTTCCATGCTTATAACAACTGATCCTTTTCTGTTTACAGGTTCTGCCTCTTTCCATCATGTTTGTTTGCATGATCACCTTTAACAACTTGTGCCTAAAGTATGTTGGTGTTGCATTTTATTATGTTGGACGGTCACTCTCCACAGTATTTAATGTTCTTTTCTCATTCATCATTTTAGGTGAGTATCCATTAGCTTTATCTCCTTAAGACCTTGACTGGATATTCAAAAAATTAATTAGTTTCAGGTTAATTATTATTTTATCTCCATATTGATTTTGAACTAATTGTATATGAAACTTCTTAGCTAATAGTCAATATAAAATAATGAAACTACAGTGCTCAGTGTGACTTTTTAAAACCTACAAAAATATGTAAGACAAGATCATTAAGGGCACAGACAGAATGAAATTAAGAATATATATGTCTCTATTTAATCCATATTTTAATTGTTGGAGAAATTAATTTTGTTCAAAATGCATGCAGGTCAGAGCACACCACTACCTGCTATACTGAGCTGTGCTGTCATCATTGGTGGTTTCATGCTTGGTGTTGACCAGGAGGGACAAGCAGGTGAGCAATTCCTGAGCCTTAATGTATACTAGGAGAGGACAACTGTTCAGTTAGATAATTTTTCAGTACTGATACATTCAGGAACAACAAGTTTATATCTTAACCTTGAAGGTTCAGACCTTGAATATTTCATCTCTGAAATAATTCCCAGTTAACTGGATTTTTACTCAATAACAGTCTTGAAATACAATCTTTCTTTTGTAGCACTGTTTCAGGAATTATTTTTGTACGGAAAATGAAATTTTTCCTATTTATTGCTTCTGTGCAGGGTCACTGTCTATAGCAGGAGTTATTTTTGGTGTACTTGCCTCTGCTTCAGTTTCACTCAACTCTATTTACACAAAAAAGGTAAGTTACAATACACAATACCTTAGTACTGAACTTAAAATCATTTAAATTGTCCTAACAATTCATTTGAAAAATTTTCATCTCATTTAAGAATTTCTATGTTTAAGCTTTGACAACAAACTCCATCTTTCACATTCATCTAATGCTTCCATTTGTTATAAGCCAACAAGCAATGAGTTTTATTTATAATTTTCTTGTAGGTACTTTTTTTCCCTTGACATCAAAATTGTGTTGAAAAACAGTTCACAAGTTTTTCAATCATTATTTGTGCAATATTGCGATTCATATTTTCTGTCAATGAATTGTGATTTTTTCAAAAAGACTACCAAATAACATTATTCTATCCAGAGGAACATGAATATTTCTCTTGCAGAACATTAGCTGTGATGAATGTTAATTATGTTTTGACAGGCACTGCCAGCCGTTGATGGGTCAATATGGCAGTTGTCATACTACAATAACGTTCTGGCTAGTATTATTTTCCTCCCTGTGATTCTACTCAGCGGGGAATTACCCGCTATTATTTTAATAGTAACTAACAGTGCTGCAGCCTATTGGATGCTTCTCTTCAGCACCGGCATCTGCGGCTTTGCCATTGGCTATGTTACTGGCCTACAAATACAGGTATGTGTTTGAGTGCTTGATTGAATAGCATTCAATTATTTTAGCAGTGCTTTATTTTTACTTAACCATAAATACCAGATTATTTGAAAAAATTTTGTTTCTCTTTACATAAATCTATGTATCTATAGCATCTCTTGCTCTTCAATTATTTTTTAGTCCAATATGCAATAGCAAAAAATAGAAAAAAGATGCCATGAAGGAGTCAGCAAGTCAATTTTTCTCTTGTATGTTGCTCATTCTTTGGTTAAACTCCTTGCTCTTTTGTACTAATTTTGAAACTTTTTATTAACTTAAATACTCTTTATGATGTAAAAATAGCTCATTCAACACTTTGGGGTTGTTTTGTCAGGTGACGTCACCTCTGACACACACCATCAGCGGCACGGCTAAGGCATGCGCTCAGACGGTGCTGGCGACGACGTGGTACAATGAGTACAAGCCCACGCTCTGGTGGCTGTCAAACGCCATTGTATTGCTCGGGTCCATGGCATACACTAGAGTCATGCAACTTGCAATGAAGACTGAACACGCTAAGCAGCGGGTTATTGGTAAGAACAAGTCCTGAATCGCATACTACTCAAATACTATGAACGTGCTACAAACGTGCTACAAACTCAGTCAAGAGATGAATGCTCTACGCTTTATTAAAAGATTCTCATAGACCGAATTTTGCTACTGAAAAATCTATTACTGAAATTACCACGACGCCGAATTTCTTCCGAATATATTTTCTTCAGTTATCAAAAAATTATTTTTTTTTTATTTGTCAAACTGATTCGTGTATGAACTTTGTTATAATTTTTTTCATTCGAGGCCATTTTATTCAAGTTGAATAAAATTGCCTCGATTGTCTCGAAAAATTCAAGAAGGTGGCACTCATCTTAGCACGGGCTTTTACTTTGATGTGACATCAATTGCATTTCTCTTGTTATTTGCCGTTTTCCCAAGAAAATAAGAATTTTATCTCTATGTGTTTACTTGGTGACTTTGGTATAAAATAATTACCAGATAACGGGGCAGATTGTTGTCATCATAAATTAGTTTATTAGATGAACAGGCTCAATTGTTGTTTTCTTTTACTTCTCATTACTAATACCAAACTAGTTTTTCTTATCATTACCGCACAAAAGATTATACATATCTGGAAGGAATAGTTCACCATGAGTATTTACTGAATTCATAAAATATTTAAACCTCAATGGCATGACACATTGACACTTTTTTCAAGTTACGTCCGATTTTAGTTATTAGATTATTCAAATTTAGCTCTTAAGTCATTTTTTTATTATATTGACTGGGATACAAATGTAAAACGCGCACATTGTGACTTAGAATATTGTCATTTAAACACTCATTATTTCTTAGGTATTTTTTGATCAAGTAGGAATTATTAAACATTTTGCAATATTTTTGGTATTTGCGCTGCACCACTAAATATGCTGACTGGGGCTATCATATTTATGCATTCATCTGTGTTTTTAAGACGAAGCTATCTCCTGAATATTTCTAATTATAATTCTGTATAATGTTTTGATAATTTTCCACTATGTAAAATTATTATGTTGTTTTGTGCGAATTGTTAACGTTGCTCATGTAGCTTGTACCTCGTCATTCATAACGTGATTACAGTGATGGCAATGCTAAATTATGTATTATTTTCAAATAATTATTCGTCGGTCTTACAGTAACAAACCTTCTACGAAGTTGTCCCAATTAATTCTCATTTTGACTTGCCTACGAAGTTTTCTTGAAAGCTGCTTTCTGAACGACGTCAGCGTTATTTCTGCCAAACTCTCAGGAAGGGGTCTCTCTGTTTATTTAAAATGTCAACGTTTATGCTTACATGTGCCAGTATTCAAAGTTTATTTCGATAGAAGTTTACTACGAGAATCCAGCATTAGTTTTGCTTGCATCGTTTCAGACGAGTCTGCATCGGAACCACTACAAAAAAATCCATCAATTCTTTAGGCTTCTCGCGAGCATTCTTCCACACTCGAACTACGTACAACATCAAGAGCGACACTTTCACCGCACCTAATGAACAATCTTTTGTTTTTAACTTATATTATGAATTTTATATAATAAGTTAAAAATCCATCCAATATTTGATAAATTGCTCTATGAAAATTTTATTTAATTTTTTGTGTACTTTTTCTTTTGATCTGGAAAGATTTTTGTTGAAACTGATTTCGGTTATTGCCATTCTGCTTGAGGCTCAATGCCAAAAGTTATCTAAATTTCTCATTCTAGTTATAAAATTTATATGAGAGTGAACAGTTTATTTGTCGTAATTGACATTTCCAGGCTAACAGCAAGCAGATTTTTTGTTCTCAGTTAACTGCTGTTCTCGCTTTTATCCTTAAATCGTGTTTAGCGTGTGTGAACTTTTTGTATGGACGAAATTATAAAAGAATCGTTGGAACTTTAAAAGAATATACATAGCTATTTCTTTTACATTTATTCCAATTACATGCTCGGCATAAATTATGTGGGACTTGTTAGTGTCAGGCTACGGTATTAAGCGACACTTGACTAATAATATCATTAGTTCTACCTGAACCTGAGGACATGGATTCGTTGACCAAGTGTGTGAGGGATAAGTAAAACACTTCTTTCTGTAGAACTCATCTTGATACATGAGAGAGACTATACAGGTGTAGACTGAGACGTCGACCGTTAGGTCGCAGTAACTCTAACGCGTTTTGCATCGCGGCGTGCTACTTAGTTACTGGGGGCCTTACTAGTTCCCAGCCCCTTTTATAGACTTATGACTTTCGCCCACTACTGTAATCTTGATCGCGTAATCTGTCACGTGATGTTGTACATGCTGACTCAGGTCTAGTACTTTTCCATCAATCTCTACCACGTCTAGTGAATATTGCGTCTCAACTACTACTGATCTAATCTTGGAAAATAATCACAACGAATAGAATGAGACGAATGATTGACTGGTTTATAAATAAAAGCCAATAATTCATAGTAATTTTTAAAAATGTTTTCATCTTCCTGAATTAGTTTCTGTAATGGGTACAGGGGTGAGTAGCCCTCTCCTAAATTCTTTGAAATTATTGTGGTGAACGTCTTGATTTTTATTTTGTCTTTCATCAATGCTGATGCAGCTACTATTCATATTTTGAAACCCACGGCTGTGAAGTATTAACGAGTGTGTGTGTCTGCTTCGTTTTTAAACTTTTGACCGACGCTGGTTTCTGCAGAAGAACGATATATCTTGATACTATATCTGATGTGTCAATGTCTCTTTAATATGATATTCTTTGATTTAATGGATTATGAACTACTTGTGCGTTGCAGTTTCTGAAGATGTCGTTAATGTATATTTTCCAATTGATTTAAATTGAAAATTGTATTTTGTGTGCATGAATCCTGTATATGTACTGCTAAGCGAGGGAATAATTTCTGGTAGTGTGTGCTTTTTGACAATAGATACAAATAGACGACACTTCGTTACAAAAGAGCAACATTACACTTGACCTGCCGACACAATAAAAACTATATATTTTTACTTACGGTAATGTGTTTAAGTGACGAATGTTCATAATTAGTGCATTATTGTTCAACAAATTCATGGATGTTAGAGCACTTGTTTTTAAAAGCGCACGTTTCCTATTGTGAAACGATTACCCATATTTTACTCTGGATAAATAATAGTTTATTTTCTTCAAGCGTATTTGATAGTCGTTATGAAGTATAATAAATGCACATATGCTTTGTTAGTCAATCGTATTGATATGTGCAAGCCTCACTTCACTTGAATTAAAACTTTTGGGTCAAGCCTAAGCCGGTTTAGTTTGTTTCGTAATCGTGTGTCTCTAATCGCCATGGATGAGGTTAATGTTCAGTGTGGTTTTCTTATTTCGCTTCAATCCAACTTACTTCATTATATGTGAAGCATATAATTCTTTAAATATTCTTTACGCAATTCCAGTGAGCCTTAAGCAGTTGTTGAATAAGTTTCGATGAGGGATTTGAAATCCTCAGTAAGAAAATATCAATCAAACGAATTTTTCCGTCTACTGCTTTTTTTTCTAGAGCCAAGCTGTGTTGAAGCGATACCTTCAATAGTTACTGTCTGTATATATTGCTTAGAAAAAGTTGTACGTGCCATTCCATCAATTGTCCTTGAAAGCAAACCTTATGTTGTAAGGAAGTTTGTTGCTACTTGGTTTCTAAAATTTGTGATAATATATAATATAAATTTAGCTTGGCTGTATTAAATTATTTCTTTGTTAAATTCACAATATTGCTTGCTTGAAACTTTTTCGTTTTCTTATCATTGGTGTTTTTTTCAGTACTATCAAACTTGGAGAAGATATGTTATCAATCTTGCGTTTACTACCACTACCGGGGTTACTTCTTCACAGAAGTAACCCCGGTAACTACCGTCCTGTCAGTCTCACAAGTGTTGTCTTTAAGGTGATGGAATCGGTTGTGAGGGATTGTGAGGGATAGGATTATCGATCACTTGACTGTTAACTATATTCTATCAGACTGTCAGCATGGCTTTATTGCTGGCAGATCATGCACCACTAATCTCCTGTCTACCTTGAATAATTGGACTCGCCTGCTGGACGAAAGGGTGCCAGTGGATGCCACTGTACCTCGATTTTGCCTACCTAGGCATTTGATAGTATTCTGCATGAGCGACTGTTACGTAAGTGAATTCGTTGGGAATAGAGGGAAATGTACTCCAATGGATCATGGATTTCATAGTAGGCAGAAGACAACGTGTCAGCATTAACGGAACCGTATCAGACTGGGTAACTGTGCGCAGTGGCGTACCGCAAGGAAGCGTTCTTGGGCCTGTTTTGTTTGTCGCTTTTATAAACGATCTACCAGAAGTCGTGTCAAGCGTGTGCTCCATGTATGCCGATGACAACAAAGTTTATTATACAGTTAATGATGCGTCAGATAAAATGCAACTGCAAAAATATCTCGATAGTTTAGTCGACTAGAATGATGACACCGGCCGTAAATTTGTCCGAAACTGAGTTTGGAAAGTTGTCTCGTCACCGAGACTTGAAAAGGACACAAATTTAGTAGAGAGTGTTCAAAGACGTGCAAAAAGGATAATTCCATGCCTAAAGGGCAAGTCTAATGATGTAAAATGTAGAAACGAATTTAAAACTAAAGTTCGTTGAAAAGATTTGATCAAAAGCCAGTCTTCTAGATCTGCGAACTAGTCAAGAAAAGTACAAGAATCGGCGACAGGCCTATTCGTCAATGCCGAAGATACTATACTAAACTGTACCACCGTTGACTTGAGTAGGCAAAATTTTATTTTATTTTTGACCGATATTCAAATGTCTCAATATTCAGCATATTCAGGATGCTGGAGCTCATTTTTCGGTTGTTGCTAATATATGTGCTATGCTCCATAACAAATTTGGGTATATTATAAAAAAAAGCTCGGTTTTGGAAGCATTTTTATCTTAAAATCGTAGTAAACAGGAGAACTGAGGGTGGCACTTGACCGATGATCCGCGCTTATTTCGGTGCACTGTTATTCAGTAGTGAGTTGACCTGCGACAGGAGAGCTTGCTGAGACTTCAACGAGAGAGGTTACTATTAACATAAGCTCTCGACTTGTCGGCTGTCGACTATAGATACGGTCAGCTCCGGTAACTATCGCTCCATTTTTTTTTCTATAGAATTTGACTTACAATCATTGAATCAGTTGTTTTCGCCATGGGACGAAAATCCGGCAAACGCCGGAAAAAAGAAGGCAATCTCTCTTGGTCTTCTTACTCTTCAGACAATGAAAGCATCGCCTCGGAACCCATACCTCCTGGACAACAGGCAACAAAACATTCTGTGCTTAATCATGAAGTTGACAGTGGACCTATATTGTCATTAGATACTGGTACTAGTACCAAAACTATCAAGGGTAACCACCCTGGTTTGGGTGATGAACTCCCTCCTTTGCCCCCCATAGTTCCTGGTTCAGCTGACAGTGTGGGCCAGTCTTCAGAAGTACCTTTTCATGAGGATTCAAGCTTCATTGCTGTCAAAAGACGCAAAAAAGCANTGCTTTAACAATACATCCATAGCAAGAAGAAAACTTTCATTCACCTAAATTGTTGCCAGAGACTAAAGAACCCGACATGAGCATTCCATAGCGCCGGCAACAACTTCATGCTGATACAATATATGTAGCTGCAGATGGGAACCAGGGGGAAAAGCAAAAAGGCTCATCAATACAGGATTATAATCCAAAATGCCCTTCCAAAAAGAAATAAAAATATAACAATGGAACTGCCATAGCCTAAGATACAAACTAAGCAACTTTAAATTGCACCTATATGCCACCAAACCCCATGTAGTTTGCTTGTGTGAAACGTGGCTGACCCAGAATGCAGAACCTAACTTCATAGGGTACTCAACAGTATTCAAGCATAGAGATGGAGGCCAGGGAGGTGGAGGTTTGGCCATGCTCATCCGCAATGACATCCCATTCCTGGAAATACCTCTTCAAACTTTTCCTGCTGGTGCCCTGGAAGTTCAGGGTATGGAGGTGTTCTTGAAGAACAACTCGTCTCTCTCTAACCTGAATGTATATAATCCTTATCAACCAGTAACCTTTAATGAATTCCAGCACTTTTTCCAACAACTAGGGCATTCAGCTGTTGTTGTAGGGGACTTCAATGCCCACCACCCTATGTGGGAGCCAACAAAGGTACCTAACACTACTGGTAGAAACTTGATGGAGCTCTTACTTTGTAACCCAGTGCTAGCCCTGCTCACACCTCCAGACCTGCCTACATATTTCAATACCTATCTTAATTCATTTTCAACGCTTGATCTTACCATCATTTCAGCAAACCTGCAGCCTCTTTCTTTTATCGTTACTGAACCTGACATGGGCAGTGACCACTACCCTGTCCTCACCTCCATTGGAGTGGAACCTACCACCATCCAGCACCGGCGCCGCCCTGCATGGTTATTTGAAGCAGGATCATGGGCAGCCTGGTATTCTGCACTACCACAGGCAAATAATTACCTACACCTTAATTTTGCTGCAAGTGCTGAAAGCTTTGTGGAAAATATTGTCTCCACTAGCACCAGGGCATTCTCGCAGAGCAAGGAAACCATCA